CTCATAGCTCCTTCCTCCTCTGATCTGTTCTTCAAGGACAGCAGAGTATATGCATAAATTAATATGTTTTTCTTATGTTTTATGCTTGTAAAAAGACCGGTAAGCTAAGCATTGACCGGTATACAATTCATATTTTGTTAAGTCTTCAATACACTCCTCCATACATAAAATCAAAAATGTTAAGAGCTTTCTTAAAAGAGTTTTAGATCAAAGTCAAAATCCCAACAATATTGAATTTCTAGATTCTCGGACCAATGGGATGGAGTAGAGCCTGCAGAGGATCTTAAGCTTGGTTCAGAATTTTCAGAAAAAACACTGGCAACAAAAGTAGAGATGATGCCTCTTTACATTAAACCATCTTCCGACGAAGATGTATGTCCTACTTGTCTAGAGGGTATGTCATTGATCTACAAATGAAGTAATTTCAACATGTTTTCAGCCCTTTGAACACACTAAGGCACCAAGGGCAAAGCCCATTTACTAATTCATTTTGATTGTATTCTTCTGCAGATTATACTCCTGAAAATCCAAAAATCACAACACAATGCTCCCATCATTTTCACCTATGTTGTATATATGAATGGATGGAAAGAAGCGATACTTGTCCTATCTGTGGCAAGGTATGCTCAATCCAGCTTTTATGGATACTTTGCTTAGAAATGCTACTTTCTGTTTCCTATTTTCAATTCTTGGGGATTTATAAGCTGATTCACACAATTAACTTGTGCGACATTAGGGAAATCCTTCAGTGTTTCTTGAAATTAACTACCCCACACAAACAAAAAAAAAACCCCAATTCTGAAAATAGCTTAAAAGGACAATGTATTTCAAACTGCACACGACCACCATTTGTCAAATTGAGTTAATGGCATTAGTCACTAACTAGCTCGTCAGCAACTCAATAGTAAATGAAAAAAAATGTGAACAAAGAAGAGAAAGGAGGAGTGAGAAATGATAAAGCTTCTCTATCCACTAGGCCACCAGCCAAAACGACTGCCTCTCTGCCACCTTGATTACAATGGGCCACTGCCACTATTGGCCACAACAAACAACAAGACCATCAAAAACACAATTACCAATATCAGAAACCCATCTCTGGCCTGCAAAAGTAAAACAATCGCTGCCAATTCCTGCTGTCGCCAGACTTACAAAACCACATACATCACGTTAATTGCCCATAATTCATCACCTCTCAACACAATCTTTTCAGCAAGGCATTATGGCCCCAGTTTCCAGCATGAATACGCTCATTTTTTGTGGAAACTTATGTCATAATCAGTTAAAGTGCTAATTGATTGGTGCATGTCTTTTGTATACTAAAGCGCCATCTTGTACATCCTTCAAATAAAAAAAAAAAAAACCACCACCTTGTACTGTATCTTACTTTCTCAGTTGCAATTTTTTCCTTTTACTGTGATATACGACTCTCATGACCAAAAGCCCTCTATGGCACATAGTTGACCACCTGAAACCCACATTAACAATACTCGCTCATTTTAAAACCTTCTATTAGTATCTGCTCAGAATGTCTCCCCCTGTGTGGTTGGTATGATGGTGATTCTGGAGTGCCACACGGGTGGCTGTAGAATGTAGAGTGTGCCGGCCAGTAATGCAACAGTTATAGTGGTGGTGCAGGTAGTAATGGCCAGCAGAATGATCATTTAATACTTTTTCAAGGAAGATGATCCATTAAGACTTATTTCTAGCATGTATAGGCTACAATATGTTATTGATAGGAGGGTAGTACGTAGATACACTGTTCTTACTATTTTATCAACCTTGCTATGTAAATTATGATTTTGGATTGAATTTTTATTTATTTATTTATTTTTTGTCGCAGGAGATGGAATTCAGTGAAAGCCTTAACTTCATCTTGGACTTCGATAAGTTATAGAAGTGATATTGGCCAATCCGAGATATAAGTGTGTGTAGGCATGTAGCTCAAAGCCAACCCGATCTTGGCATGATGAATTCCATGTAGAAAATAGCAGTTAAATTTTAAAATCATCTTTGCTGTTTCTTTAATGGTCAGAGGGGCTTTGAGTATCTCTGGATACAATTTGTCTGATCTTTGAGAAGACTGAAGACAGAATGGTTTCGAGAAGATACATTTTCACCATTTACTTTTATGTGCCTCATCTGAATATGATTTTAACGTATACTTTTATATGCTTCTGCTTTAATTGAATTTTTTGAACGAGTGAATGGCTACATCCTACGTTATATGTGGAGCAAGTGAGAATGCATCAACTTTCCAAAATTACAAAAAAGGGTATCAAACCATTAATTAATTTCAGGACTCACAGTATTGTCATTGATTTTTTAAGGACCTGCAGGGTAATAATACTTTGTGGACGTCATATCATTGATGAGTAATGCTTTCGTTCTTCGCTTTGCCACACGAATTGATTCTCAAGACTGTTCAAAACCATCTTAAGCCGAATCTTTAATTTACACAACTTAATATAAAAATTGGAGTATGATGTACAAAAATATGTTGTATCTGTAAAGGCTGTGATGCCAGCCCAGCCCAGCCCAGCCCAATAGGCGATGATATAATGGCTTTCAGCCAAATTGCTATTGCCCAATACATTCAGCTGAAATGAAGGCCCACACCACCCAGCCAATACTCGGTCTGGTAAAAGCGTGTTTGGCTATTGTAACTTTAGTTGTATTTCTTTTCAGAATCGTGAGTTTCTCTGGACTGCTGGATTGACTGTTGCTCAATCTCAATATGTTGATATTTTTGGTATTCGAATGGTTTTCATTCTTCCTATGGGTTTTCTAGAGTCTTCATGCTCTCTCTTTTCATCTTCATATTCTGTTGTGAGGAACTCTTGAATCTGTTTCTTGAGTGTGTTTTCTGTGTGAAATTTGGTAAAAAGAAACGATGTAGTTGTTGGTAACGTTGAGCTCTTCTGATCTATAGAAGAAGCTGCATGATTACTGTAAATCGTGAGGGTTTTAGGTGAATCTGGGTTTCATGGCTTCGATACAGATGGGTTCAATAGTTTGAACCTTCGATCGGGGAAACCTTGATGTTCGGTGGTTTGTAGATAAACTTTGGAATAGGTTCTTTTGATCTGTAATTTTTGATTTTCAGTTTTGTATTCAGTGGTATCAGAGCATCTCTTGGTTGCTCTTGAGGCTTCGAACGAGTTTTGAAGGTTGGAAAATCAATTTTCAGTCTTCGATCTTCGTTCGTCTGAAAATCGAGAAACCCTAGTTTTGAGTTTCTTTTGATTTGGGGTTTGTGAGTACAGAATTGTGGTCTTGGTTGTGAGAGGTGTTTGGTGTTCATGACTTCTTGGTTCGGCCCTATAAATAGGGATTTCTTTGGTTCTTGATTTCTTTTGTAGTAATCTAGTGGAACACCACCCCCTTGCTGTGATCTTCGATTCCTCCTATTGCACTGTAGTTTGTGAGTTGGTGGTTAATTTAGATCCATCCTTATGGTTTGCTTTTTCTAACACTGAAATCCCCACCCCTGTGTTTGCATATTCATTCCTGCTGAATGCTTTTGTGTAATGACCCTTCGTGTTCAAATTGTGCCTTGACCTGAGAACAAGAGTCTCACGGAGTCCTGGTCAATTTGATCATTATTGGGATGACTACTACTAGTTTCCCTCATTTTTCTTTTCGTATATTGTTTAACCTGATTCTGTTCTTTACATTCTTGATTCTGAATTTTGTCTATTTGTTGGAATTCTTTTGTCTATTTGAGAATAATTGTGATTTCTGATTGTTGTTTATTGTCTGTGATCTATTTCTCCTTTCCCTTTTGTGAAGATCAATTTATTGTTTTTTTAAAGTGTATCAGCTGTCATAGTTTTAAAGTTTTGGAATATTTTGTGTTATTTCCGATTAATAAAATATGACAAATACTTTTGAATTTGGTATTTTTGATGGAAGATTTTCCTATTTGACAACAAAAGATGAAATGTGTTTTAGTTCAATAAAAGATTTCTAAGGCAATAACACAAGAATTTCCTAAAACTATGACAACTGATCAGATAAATGAAGCTGATGAACTTGCTTATACCTCTATTATTCTGTATTTATTTGATCAAGTTTTGAGGAAAGTAGGAAAACAAGAGAATGCTAAGACCTTATAGGATGAGTTAGAGAAGCTCTACCTAGTTAAGTCCTTACCCCAATAAGTTGTTTCAGTTGGAGAAGTTCTTTAGCTTTAGGATAGACACCTCTAAGGATATAGAAGACAATCTTGATACCTTCAATAGGTTGGTTCAAGATATCACCAATGCTGATGATAAAGTCTCTGAAGAGTATAAGGTTGTTGTGTTATTAAATGCCATTCCTGATACCTATAGAGAGGTTAAGGCTACCATAAAATATGGTAGAGATACCCTTATACCTGTGATAGTTATAAACTCCTTGAGAAGTAAAGAGCTTCAACATAGGGCTGGGAGAGGAAATTGTGGGCCTGAGAATCTATTTGTTAGGAGGAGGACCCAGAATTAGGAAGGCTTTAATAATCATGGAAACAATAATGGAAAGAAGTTTAAGAGTATGGGCCGGTCTAAGTCAAAGACTAGAAATAAGAAATGCTATGGGTGTAGGAAAACTGGCACTATATAAAAGATTGTTATAAAAAGAAAAATGAACGGAAAGGAAAATGAATGATGAAGGGAATGTAGTTTAACATACTGATTCTAATATTATTGATGTGTATGTTGTGACTGAACATTTTTCTGATTGTGGTTATGCCAATGTTATTAATGAAGGAAATCAGATCCAAGAATGGATCTTGGATTCTGGTTGTACCATCCACGTGACTCCTAAAATGAGTTGGTTTGACTCCTTTAAGAAGATTAATTGAGGAGAGGTAGTCATGGGAAACAACATTGCCTGCAGAGTTTAACATTGAAATTTGAAAATGGGTATATCTTTACCCTTGAAAGGGTAAGATATGTTCCTGAACTAAATATAAACCCCGATTTCAATGGAAAATTTGGATGATTTAGGTTTACAAGGTAAGGTTGGTGATGGGTTGTTGAAGGTGATGAGAGGATCACTTGTGATGTTTAAAGGTGTTAAGGGAAATGGAATTTATGTAGTTAAGGCCAGTGTTGTTGTTGATTACATGGCTGAGTCTTCCGATGCTGAACTTGATGCCACTCTAAAGTAGCACAAGAGATTAGCTCATGTAGATGAAAAAGGCCTGCATTCTTTTATAAGAAATGAGTTTTTGGGAAGGACTCTATAACTAGAGTTTCTTTTTATAAAAACTGCACTTTAGGAAAACAACATAGTTTACATTTTAACACAAGAAAGCATAAATTAACCTTTGTTCTTGAATATATATATATTCTGATTTGTGGGGGCCTTTTTCCACTATCTCTCAAAGAGGACATATAGACTTTCTTTCCTTGATTGATGATTATTCTAGGAAGGTTTGTGTTTACCTGTTGAAACATAATTTTGATCAGTTTTGTATTGAAAATGGGATTAGGAGACATAAAACTGCTCCTTATACCCCTCAGCAGAATGCAGTGGTTGAGAGAATGAATAAAACTTCGTTAGATAAGGTGAGGTGCATATTGGTTGGTTCAGGTGTCCCTAAAACCTTATGGGATGAAGCTTTATTAACAGCCACTTACATAGTTAATAGAACCACTTCAAGTGCTCTAGGTGATAAAGTACCTGAAGAGCTATGGATTGGAACAGTCCTTGACTTTCCCATCTGAAATTTTTTGGATGTACAGCCTATTCTCATCAGAATATATGAAAATTAGAGTCTAGGGCTCAGAAATGTGTATTCTTGGTGCCCTATTTGACAGATAATGAGCCTAATAGACTACTTGAAAAGAAAGAAGGAGATAAAACCAAGCTGCAGGTGGAGCTTGGTATGCTAACAGAATATGTTGATTCTGAACAAGTTCAGATTGAACCTGAAAATGCTGACCCTTTAGATGTTGAAGAAAAGGGTGAGGTTCAAGAAGATTTAGAAGAATAAGTGAGTGATGTAAGTGATTATCAATTGACAATAGATAGAGTTAGGAGAGATATAAGAGAGCTTGTTAGGTATAGAGATTACCTATCATTTGCTTTGCTTTCTTATCAAGACTTAGTCTTTAGAGAGCCAAAATCTTATGAAGAGGCTATTTCCAGCCAGTAATCTAAGGACTGACAGGCTGCTATGAATGATGAAATGGACTCCTTGATTAGAAATGGAACCTGGACATTAGTTCCTAAACTTGCACGTAAATCCCTTGTTGATTGGAAGTGGATTTTTAGTATTAATGAGGGTAATACTGAGAAGATGCCTACAAGATTTAAGGCTAGACTAGTTGCAAAATGTTTTACACAAAAGGAATGCATATATTATAATGAAATCTTTTCTTCTGTTATAGATTTTACAATGTTGTTCAGTATAGTGGTTGCAAAACAACATAAGCCACCAGTAACAGCAGTATAAGCTGATCCAATATCTTTCAAGATATGCATCAGCAAGGAAACCACCTAGTACTGATGATGCTTGTGATATTCCTAAAGAGTTATTAACTGCATTGGTCGAACTTGTGAATGGTCGATGCATACGTAGAACATAAAAGCTACCATGTTAACAGAGAGCCCAAAATAAGCTATTCTCTCTGCCATTTCATTCTCCGAACAAACAAAATGGTTATCAAGAAGCTGTAATGGCCCAAAAGACTGAAAATAAGTAATTATACATAAAAATGAGAAATTGAGAATATACCAAAAATGAAGAATACTGCAATCCAACTACCATGAATGTTAACAGGGGCCAGTAATGGCCCATGAATGTTAACAGGTGTAGCTCATCTAGCAGTACCCATATAGCCATCTCCAAAAGCAGTCTGCCTATCATAAGACCAATGATATAAATTCCTAGTTTTTTCTCCTTTGAGACTTAGAATTGGCTTCAAAGCTTGCTGGAGTCTTCGGTACGACTTCAGGCGACTTGATTTCTCTACTGGCAGAAACATCCATCCCTCAAATTGAAGAAACTCAAGTAGAAAAGTAAGTATGGAATCTCCAAAAAGAATGAATAACGAGGAAGCCATTTTTTCACAACAGTTACCTATAGGAAAGAGTAATGCTTCAACATGTTATCTAGAGTAATGCTATGTAACCCCACTGTGATTACAACCCCAGTCTTGATGACGCTACATGATAGGTTAAACGAAGGGTAAAATTAAATGTTTTGTTCAATTTCACCTATCATTTAATGTTACGTAAACACCATCTACTCTAATAACTAGTAACGATAATAATAGTGGCAATAAATGTTGACAATAAAGAGGGATACAACTACCACGTAGATGGTAAAAGAAGGTGAGGAAATATATTAAATGCAGCAACTGTATAGAAGAAGACAATTGTATTCACCTCAAATGCACCAAGTAGTCCAACCAATCTCTACTAGCTTGTAGCACAAGTTTGGCTGCCTAAGAGTAATTTGATCGTACGAAATCCGTAAGTGCACAGATAAGTAGATATCCTCCCACGAAAACTATGCATTTAATCTAGGATCAATTAAAGCTAAATCTAATCGATTAGTCGAGTTTGTATTAAGAATATATACTAATTAATTAATTAAAATAATTAATCTAATAAGTAATTTATGGAAACTTATATAAGATTAGGTTGAATATGTACTAAGACTTCAAATCCCTCTTATTAATCCGGTTCAATGCGCCTTTTTTTTTGCCCAAAAATCAAGTTCAAATCTTCAAAGAATTGATTTCTTGTATATTGCCTCTTTTGAAAGGTCTTATGGTATTCTGTATTCATAAGGGTCAAATTTAGGTTGAAATCCATGTCCAATTGGATTCCATTTAGTGTTTGAATCGAAAAAGGATACTAAAATTTTTCCAGCGTCCTTCTATGCTATTGCACATAGTTGTGAGGTGCAATCACAACGTCTTCAGTAGTTAGAGTCCGCTGTTGTAAATTTTCTTTGCGATCGTACCCCTAAACCGAAAAATCAATTTTATAATCCACATAAAACTAACCTTCTTGATTTCAATGTTATCGGTGACCGAGTTGTGTGGTGTGGTCAATTGTGGTGACTAGATTTTGACTGTGAGAATTTTTTCTTTTTCATCCACTGTTTGCACAAGACTCTTGGGGAGTATTTTTGGCTTTCTATTTTTTAACATGACGTTTTATCTTTTTATTTTTTTAATAGTCAAAGGCCAAAAATGAAATATGATAGAGTTAACCAAACATTTCCACCTATTTCCTCCTTAACTCGGCATCAAGGACCACAGCTTCAACTAGCCCCTTGACCTAATTACAACCGCAGATTACTTAACTTCGACCGCACATTGTACATATTTTATTTCAATTGTAAAATAGCTGTGATATTGGAAACATTTACTATGATTCCTCGACATTTAAACGTCTACTCTTATCATTTAGGTTTTTGTGTCGTCAATTCAGATGAAAGATTTCAAGCTTATTTTGGGATTGGAATTTTTTCGGGACACTAAGACAGCAGTGTTTCCATATTTCGATTCATTGATGATGAGGGTAGTAAACCGTATGTCATCAGGTACGACGTGCACTACGTGAACTGAAACATACAAGCTCTATCAGGGAGTATGTGAAAGCCTTTTCAGGGCATATACTGAATATTTGAGACATGTCGAAAAAGGATAAGCTATTCACCTTCATGGAAGGGTTGAAACTGTGGACATGCACAGAACTTCAGAGACAGAAGGTCACTGATTTGAGCGTGGCCATGGGAGCCGCTGAATGCTTAAGTGACTATCAGCCCGAGTCGAGAAAAGATCGACCTTCAGGGAATAGTTAAGCTATTGGAGGTGAAAACAAACCTTACAGACCTAACTCAAACTCAAATGGGGGAGAGCGTTACTCTAATAACAAGGGAGGAGCCTATCAAGGCACCTGTCAGAGTAACTTCTAAGAGATTTATCAAAACAGTCGTCAAAGAAACTATAACGGTAACAGCAGTAATAGTAGGAATAAAGGAAAAGCAACGGAAGGCCGATCTGATGCCACTCCTAAATTGGTGTACTTTTTATGTGAAGGACCCCATCGGGTGGCTGAGTGTCCTAAAAAACGAATGGTGAATGCATACTGTCAACTAGGGAGCGGTGGAATGAGTTCAAAGTAAGATGTCAACCAAGCTAGCTGCCACGATGAGACCGATTCCGAAGAGGATGAAGATGTACTTGGTGCATTCTCACATTGGTGCAATACACTATCGCAGCGAGCTATTAAAAAGGAGAATGTTCCCTCGAAAGAGGTAACGACGGAAGAATCGAAGGCTCGTATTCGTAGGGCGAAAGGTCTAATGTACATTGATGTGAAGATCAATGGAAAGCCAATCAGGGCTATGATAGATACCGGTGATACCACAACTACCTTGCAAGTACCGAAGTAGAGCGGCTCGGACTTGTTCTGGAAAAAGGTAATGGGAAGGTCAAAGCAATCAACTC